CCATAAACCACTATTTACAAATGGCTAGGTTCACACACCGCAGTACGCCAATACCAAATAAACAATATTATGGCTTAAGGCAATCTATGAACCCATAATAGTTGGGCTTGTGCAGCATATTTAATCAGGTCGCTTAAAAGGCCCTAACCACTGAATTTGCACAACAGTTAAAGGCTGGATTTTGCAACAATATTTTTATGCAAACCCAGGCTGTTTGATTAACTGTATGAACCCAGGAAAATGGATGAATTCAGTAATCAGGTTAGGCACATTGTGAGCACAGGGAATAAGGAAGGAAGGAAGGGAGTGCATTGAGCAAATGGAACTGGGATTGAAAAGTAGGATGTGAGCTTGGAGGGGGGGGGGGCTCAGAAGCATGTGTTATTCTTCTGATTAGTTTATCTAGTCTATCCATGCTTAGCAAGTTGTAAACCCTCAGTTCTGTCCCTGTGATCTCCAATTTAAGTTTCTTATAGCAATGATGAGAGAGATTCAGGGAGCAGATTATGGAAATGGGTCTTTCTGCCCTAGACCCCAGAGAGTCATTGCTATTAGCTCTTAGATTAGTGGTTTCCTGGTATTGTTGGAATATAACTCTAATGATTCCTGAATAACAGCAATATTGTCTGATGGTGATGGAAATTGCAGTCCAACAACATCTTAGGACCCAAGGCTAAAAACCACTGCCTTATTCTTAAATTGTCACAAGCTGCAACTAGCATTACTTACCACCCCAAGAAATCCCTGGCCTTCCAGGCATCAACCACCTCAGCAATGTTATTTGCAATCTGGTCATTCGGTAGCCTTAAGTCATCTGAAGAGTCGTTGTTAAAGTTCCCACAAGGAGCACATAGCTTCCCTGCCATGTTGCTGGTGACCTTCACTGTTACTTTGCCATTGGGACTGTAGAGAACTTGTAGCTGGGAGTTTTGATTGATGACAATGCTGTCCTGAGATTCAGTGATGGAGATGGCTGTGGAGACATTGTGTGGGAGCTGGACCAAGAGTCCATTGACCTGAAAGAAAAGTAATGGGAGACATGGAAAGTGAAGATTCCTGGGCTCAAGACTCTGCTGTTGTGGGTTAATAATGGAATTAAGTATTGTCACGATTTCTTATGTCTGACACTTAAACCTTTTCATCAGTTTGACTTTGTAAGTTTCCCAAAGAATCATGGGAAATGTAGTCTAATTCAGGTACTAAGAACTGTTTGAAAGCTCTAGCTCCAACCTCTTAGAGGTTGCTGGGGAATGATTATCAAGCAGCACCGTCAAGTAGTTTTCTCTTCTAAATTTCTAATTTGGGGTAGAAAATCTTGAGAATTTTATCTGAATGCAAGAATGTAGAACATAGGATAATACTGGAATCCCATTAAACACAAAGTTATAGGTTTGGACAGTAACTTTGGTTACTGAATTAAGCTATGGGCTGGGTTTGCACACTACGTTAAGCTGCAAAAAAACTTATCAAGGTTCATATATTGTCCAGACCCTGAGTTTGTAACTCACCTGCTTAAGAGTGTTATGCAAACACAGCCATAACATGATTTGTTTGGCCAATTCAACAAACCACAGTTAACACAAACCATGGCTTAATACATTGTGCAGCCTATGTGTTGATATGTCCCATCCTGTACATATGTAAGAAGTGCCCTGCTGGCTGAAGCTGGGAAGGCCCATCTGGTCCAGAAAACCGCACCAAACACAAACCTAGCCAAGGTTGGCTAGCTTAGTATTTTGTTTGCTATATCTAGCCTTTTCTTCAAGGGAGTTTATCACCCTTCATTTTAATCCCATAACAATCCTGTGAGGAAGACTGATCTGAAAAGACGCGATTGGCCCAAAGTCAACAAGTGAGTTTCCCTAGCTAAGGGTAGACTTGAATTTGGGTCTCCCTAATCTTAGTCCAACATCTTAACTCTGAAACCACACGAGAGGCCGTGAGGTCTTTAAGTGACCCAGTTACATAGGTTATGTGAACACAGCCATTCAGTAGCCAGTATTTTGCTTTGAGGGAATTGACAAGCAGGAATGGAAGGAAATAGCCATCCACTATAGTATTTCTGTAGATGTAAAGTTCTGCTAACTGAACTTTAGAGCATCTACAGAATCCAGGGGTTTCCTCAGCATGACAAGATGTATGTTGTGACATCACAGTTCCAGCTTCTCCCCTTACAGGGTGCATATACCACTGTAACTCATATTCAAAAGGGGTACAGCTTGCATTGTAACACTGCAGGCCATTGGCCCCTGACTCTTGTCCCTCTCTCCACCCACCCATAATTTGGTGAGACGTAATTTGGGGACACAGAGTTCTATGGTATCATTGTGGGCCACAGCTTACCCAAGTCTCCTTGAGGTTAGTCACTGTGATGAACGCTTCCCGGAAGAAGATGTAGACTGCTGTAGCAGCAGGCACCATGTCATGGTTACAGTCATTGAAATCCACCACCAGTTTAAACCAGGAGGGTGAGTCCTCCTCACAGTAGGATGCAAGCTTGTAAGCACCGCTGGTGATAAGCTTCCCTGTGACACCATCAAAGGAGCTGAGCCATGCGCCTGGGATCAGAGTGCATTGGCCTTCCTGTCTTACACAGCCATACCCCTTGGCTGTGGGCATACAAGTCTCTCCCACAGCGCAGCGGTTCTTGACACAGATGAGCTGGCTAGATGGGTGGCAAGTGCACTTCTCGGAGCAGTCATTGGATAAGATTGTCTCCCCTGCCTGGAGAGCAATTCCAGATGAAAAAACTCCAGTGAAAAATCGTCTTAGAACTACCAAGGAAATCACGCATGGAGCAGAATCAACAAAGCCAAAGAAACAGCACTCTTAAAAAGAAACACATGAACACTTTCTTACCAAATGGGGCTGGTGGTACCAGTTCAACTCCAAATGCTTATACGTTCTGGGCAAAGCCATTTTGCCACAGACTAAATGCCAAACTGGATATGCTTGAGGCCATCTAACTCATTAAATCAGCCAGGAAATGGAATAATTTACTCTGAGCTGAGGTTCTTGCTTTCATCAGGTGAAACCATGGAATAGAAGCCATGCAATGAATTCAATCTCTAGTCTAATGTTTCTCAATCTAGGCAACTTTAAGATGAGCGGACTTCAACTCCCAGAATTCCCCAGCCAGCCATGCTGGCTGGGGAATTCTGGCTATTGAAGTCTGCTCATCTTAAAGTTGCCAAGTTTGAGAAACACTGCTCTAGTCACTCCACTTAAACAAAGGTGCACAACCTGAAAACATTATGTCCACTAGGAGTTTTTAATAGGATAGGTGAAAAATACTTGCAGAATAAGCATTTTATTCCCACCTCTCCCTGATTACATCAGCCTGTCCCATTAGATCTGGCAGGGAATGTATGCTATGGGTTCCATCAGCCAGGAACTTGTATCTGGTGGGTCCCAGGAGGTGGGTCCTGTGGAACATTCTCCCCACTGAAGTGAGGCTCACCCCTTCCCTGCTGTTGTTTAGGAAGTCCCTAAAGTTCTGGTTGTGTCATCAGGCCTGGGGGCCTTTGGGAACCAGAGACATTCTTAGATGGCTCCACTATGATTGATATTCTGCTCTCTCCGTGGAGCTTGTATATTTATATTTTTTGATAATATTTCCATTTTAATAATTATCTGGAGGTTGAGTCATGGCAACTGGACTTCTTTTCTTTTTGGTAGAGATGTTTCGCTACTTGTCCAAGCAGCTTCTTCAGCA